CTATTTTATGGTATTTCCCATCCATGTGATAGTACCTAGCCTGAGCAAATGTAATTTCAACTAATATAATTTCTGATTGGAGCCCTCGGTGGCCCAGTGGGTTAAAGTGCTGAGCTGCTAAACTTGCTGACCGAAAGGTTGCAGGTTCGAATCTGAGGAGCGGCATGAGCTCCCACTGTTAGCCCCAGTTTCTGCCAACCTAGTAGTTCGAAAACTTGCAAATGTGAGTAGAATAAAAGAATTGGAAGAGACCTCATGGGCCATCCAGTCCAACCCCCTGCCAAGAAGCAGGAATATTGCATTCAAATCACCCCTGACAGATGGCCATCCAGCCTCTGTTTAAAAGCTTCCAAAGAAGGAGTCTCCACCACACTCTGGGGCAGAGAGTTCCACTGCTGAACGGCTCTCACAGTCAGGAAGTTCTTCCTAATGTTCAGATGGAATCTCCTCTCTTGTAGTTTGAAGCCATTGTTCCGCGTCCTAGTCTCCAAGGAAGCAGAAAACAAGCTTGCTCCCTCCTCCCTGTGGCTTCCTCTCACATATTTCATGGCTATCATATCTCCTCTCAGCCTTCTCTTCTTCAGGCTAAACATGCCCAGCTCCTTAAGCCGCTCCTCATAGGGCTTGTTCTCCAGACCCTTGATCATTTTAGTCACCCTCCTCTGGACACATGCCAGCTTGTCAATATCTCTCTTAGATCAATATGTACTGCTCTGGCGGGAAGATAACGGCACTCCATGCAGTCATGCCGGCCACATGACCTTGGAGGTGTCTACGGACAATGCCGGCTCTTTGGCTTAGAAATGGAGATGAGCACCAACCCCAGAGTCAGATATGACTAGACTTAATGTCACGGGAAACCTTTACCTTTACTTTAATTTTTGATTTATCTGCTTTCCATTGTTTACAGCAGTGATTCCCAACCTGTGGGAAACTATCTTGTTCGAACCTGTGGGCTGCCTGTATTTCCTTTATATCCAGATCCATAAGCAATCAGTTATTAATCAACTACAAACACTCTGCAAAGGCCTGAAAGAAACATTTTAGTCCTGGCCAACTTGCATCTTGCAGCCAGAAGAGAAATTGCTGCCATGCGCTCATGTGTTTCCTGAGGTTTTCCTCTCCCTGTTCTGGTCCTCTTAGGACTGACAGCACATTAATCAGAAGCTGCCAGCCCCATTCAGTGGTAAGTGCTTCACTGCATGCTTCAATCTCTCAAGTCCACTCTGGAACGGCAGCACATCATACTTTCCAGTCCCAGTTTTAAAAACATATTTCTCCTGCCCACCGCATCCTGACGATTTAAGAGAAAAGTGTTTTATTGCAAAGGAATTTGTGGTTACAACATGCTGCACAATAATGTCACTTTATTGCTTTTACAAAACAGTGAAAGATCTGAATCTGGGAATTTCACTTGCACATAGTCCAACATTCAGCTTCTGCTATGCAGGCTTATGCCTGTCTACGTGCCTTCAAGCTGCCTGATGACTTATGGCAACCTTATTCATTTCCCAGGGATTTCTTAGCCAAGGAATACTCAGAAGTGGTTTTGCCTGTTGCATGGGATTTCAGACTCAACAAAAACAGGATCGTGCGATATGGGCATCATAGTGATATTGGAGTTTAAAAAACACATGGTAAAGTTTCTGAAAAATGGCCTGCAGCACTTGCTATTCGTTGGTGGTCTCCCATTCAAGTAATAATTTCAAGATCAGACAGGACCTGGTGCCTTTAGGACAAACTTCAGCCCTCCGGGTATTTTGGACTTCAACTCCCACAATTCCTAACATGCTGATGAAGTCCAAAACACCTGGAGAGACGAAGTTTGCCCATGTCTGTTTTGGGGTATTTAGGCCCCCATGAAAGCTGACTCAGATGCAAACCCCCTTGCATTCAGTGAATCTTGCTCCCAGAAAGGCTGCATAAGATTACAGCTCCAGGATCCCAATACAAAAAAAGGAGTGGAAAATATTCTTAATCATGGAATCATAGATTTAGAAGAGACCCCATTGGCCATTCAGTCCAAACCCGTTCTGCCATGTGGAAATACACAATCAACATCCTCCCGACAGATGGCCATCCAGCCTTTGCTTAAAAAGCTCTAGAAAAGGAAATTCCACCACAACCTGAAGCAGCCTATTTCACAGTTGAACAGCTCTTACTGTCAGAAAATGTTTCCTAATGTTCAGGTGGAATCTCCTTTCCTAAAATTTGAATCCATTGTTCCATGAAAATGAATAAAATCTGGCTACCAGTATTAAAAAAAACTCTAAAATCAGGACAGTAAATGAAGAGAAACACTCAAAAAGCAGGGGAATTCCAGGCAAGAATCAATCAGGGCCAGCTAGCACCCCCAAAGGACTCCCTCAGGCAGCAACCAGCCAGGCTGTGAAGCTGCAAGGTCATTAAATGCTAATCAAGGTGGCCAGTTGCAACATTCACACTCATCTCAAGCAAAAGTTCCTTCTCCCATCCTGGACCTTCCACAGATATATAAACCCGATTTTCCTAGTTTCCAACAAACATCACAACCTCTGAGGGTGCTTGCCATAGATGTGGGCAAAACGTTAGGAGAGAATGCTTCTGAAACCTGGCCAAAAAAACCCAAAACTCACAGCAACCCAATGAATCCGGCCATGAAAGCCTTCAACAACACAATTCGAGATAGTTTCTGACAGCCATAAAAACAAACTTTCTGGCGCATAACAACTATTTTTGATGTAAATATTGCGCAATTAAACAGGAAATAACACTTTCAAACCAGGAACAGGTTTTTTTTCCAAATTTTGTTACATAGTGTTAGCAAAAGATACAAAACTTAAAAGATTAAACCATCAACAAATTTAAAGCCAGATCAAAACATGTCATTACACACACACACAAACACAACGATTAGCAAGATCCAGCACAATGAGAAATAATAACAAAATAATGTAATACAGTGTTGTGGAAGGCTTTCATGGCTGGAATCACTGGGTTTCTGTGCATAGGTTCCAGAAGCACTCTTTTCTGACATTTTGCCTGCATCTATGGCAGGCATCCTCAGAGGTTGTGAGGTCAGGTGAAATGTCAGGAAAGAATGCTTCTGGAACATGGCCATACAGCCTGGAAAACCCACAGCAGCCCAATGTAATATACTAATAAAGGTTTATCCTTGACATTTATTTATTTATTTATTTATTTTATTTGCTACATTTATATACCGCCCCTCTCAGCCCAAGGGCAACTTGGAGCAGTTAACAATAGGCAACAATTTGATGCCAGATCAGTTACAACAAATTAAAACAGTCATAAATACTTTAAAATACTAACAGCAATATAAAAGCATAAAAATCATACACAGCATTTTAAAACATTGTCAAAGCGTCGCCATCTCAAATTGTTGTCCAGTTGCATCGTCAATTGTCCATAATATCATATATCTATGCCATAGTTGGGAAGGCCTGCTCAAAAAGCCAGGTTTTCACCATTCTTCGAAAGGACAGGAGGGAGGGGGCTGATCTTATCTCTCTCTAGGCAGGACGTTCCACAGTCAAGGGGCCACCACTGAGAAGGCCATCTCTCGTCCCCGCCAGACACATCTGTGAGAAAGGTGGGAGCAAGAGCAGGGCGTTCCCAGATGATCTTAGCGTTCTGGATGGTTCGGAGAGAGATACGTTCAGATAGGTAAGTTGGACCAAAACCATTTAGGTCCACTCGTGTCTGACTCTGGGGCAGGGTGGTGGTGGTGCTCATTAAAACAGAGGCCATCTGTCAGGGGTGCTTTGAATGCAATTTTCCTGCTTCTTGGCATGGGGTTGGACTGGATGGCCCATGAGGTCTCTTCCAGCTCTATGATTCTATCTCCATTTCTAAGCCGAAGACCCAGTGTTGTCTGTAGACGCCTCCAAAGTCATGTGGCCAGCATGACTGCATGGAGCACCATTGCCTTCCTGCATTTGCATGTAATATAGTTCTGTATTATATTTACTGTATTATAGAAATAGTTTAAAAATTTAAAATATCACTTCTTCGCTGGCCCATGAAGTCTCTTCCAACTCTATGGTTCTATCTCCATTTGTAAGCCGAAGAGCCGGCGTTGCCTATAGACACCTCCAAGGTCATGTGGCCAGCATGACTACATGGAGCACCGTTACCTTCCCGCATTTGGATGTAATATAGTTATGTATTATATTTACTGTATTATAGAAATAGCATTTTAAAATTTAAATTATTATTATTATTATTTACAGCATTTATATGCCACCCTTCTCACCCTGAAGGGGACTCAGAGTGGCTTACAAGATATATATACATACAATATATTATATTATTACCATAGTACAATATCAGTATTAAATATTAGTATATTGTACTATATTATTATATTATAATATGTTTAGTAATATTACATGTAATATAAATATATAATTATAATATCATATTATTATTAGTATTATATTGCATTACATTATAATATTATAAATATTATATGTATATACAATATATTATATTATATTATATTATATTATATTATATTATATTATATTATATTATATTATAATAGGTTATGTTACGTTATGTTATGTTATGATATGATATGATATTATTAGCATAGCACAATATCAGTTCTTCGGTTGCTTGAATTCCAGTGAATCAATTCCGGTCAATTAAGAGCTGGACTGTACATTCCACCCATCACAGCCAAGCTTCATTCTTGCGTCCGTAGTTGCGTTGCCTCATTGGCTGCGAGCCCTGCCAATCACCCTTCAATCCAGCCCCTTTCCTCCTTTTCAATCGTTTTAGCTCCTCCCACACGCTAGAAACAGACTCCCCGGCGTTCGAAACAGCGGGCGAAACCATTCGGTGACATATACAGCGGGGGGGGGGGTGTTGAAAGAAATTGGAAAGAAACCCTTCCTCGTTATATCTTATATACATATAAATAAAAGTATGGGTGTTTTGAAGAAGTATTTAAAAACGAAGATAAACTAAGAATATTTTTATTGAACTGTTTTATATAGGCTTGGCTTGAACTGTTTTGGATGCCCACCCCCGTCTGGGCGCGTTGGTGGCGCCCGTCGCCTACGTCACCCATTGTTTACAAACCAACCGCAGCCGCGACGGCAGTGTGGCCGAGGGAGAGGCAGGAGGAGGATCGCGTGCTGCTGGGAAGGAGACGCGGAGCGATGCCTTGCCGGCGGCCGGGCGGAGAGCGCTTGCTGCTGCTCCAGGGCGGCGAAGAGGTGGACGCCTTGGTGGCCCGCTTGGGCGAAGTGCTGCAGCTCAGCGCCGCCCAGAAGCCGCCTCCGCCTGCCGTGTGCGACCCTCCGCGGCTCCTGGTGGCCCCGAAGCGGGACCGGGCGGCGCCCTATGCCTCCTCCTTCTTCGCGGCGTCCTTCCACCAGCACAGCGGGAAGCAGCTCTGCGGACGGGGCTGGCTGCGAGGGAGGAGGAGGAGGAGCCCCAAGCGCCACCGCTGCCCTTTGCAGGAAGGAGGAGGCGGAGGAGGAGGGGGAGCGGGGGGCAGCGACGACCCTCAGCGGCTCCTCCAGCAGCTCATCCTCTCCGGGAACCTCATCAAGGAGGCCGTGCGGAGGCTGCAGCGGGCCGCCAGCGTGGGCCCCACCCCGGCCGGAGAGGGGTCGGCCTCCCCGGACTCCTCCGCCGCCTCTTCGTCCTCCTCCTCCGCCGGGAGCTGGTGCCCGAGCAGCGGAGGAGAAGGGGAAGGCGCCTCGCCTTGACACCCCTCCTGAGAAGGGGTCGGGAGTCCGACAGGAAGGACATTTACGAGCCTGCCCTCCACACTGAGCGTTTAACCCAGTTTCGAACCGGGATTGGAGGGCCAGAGGAAACCCCGGACCCCGTTTGACCCTTCTGCACAGACCACAGAACCTCTCCATGGATAGAGAAGATGGCCTCCACATCTTCCCCTCCACACTGAGCATTTAACCCAGTTTTGAACCAGTTTTGAACCAGGATTGGAGGACCAGAGGAAACCCTGGATGCTGTTTTACCCTTCTGTAGCGATCACAGACCTCAACCTATCCACTCTTCTGCACAGACCACAGAGCTTAGCCTCTCCCATGGATAGAGACTACAAAGGATGGCCTCCACATCTTCCCCTCTACACTGAGCATTTAACCCAGTTTTGAACCAGGATTGGAGGACCAGAGGAAACCCTGGACCCTGTTTGACCCTTCTGAAGAAACCCCAGAGCTCAACCTCTCCATGGATAGAGATTGCAAAGGATGGCCTCACCATCTTCCCCTCCACACTGAGCATTTAACCCAGTTTCGAACCGGGATTGGAGGGCCAGAGGAAACCCTGGACCTCGTTTGACCCTTCTGAAGAAACCACAGAGCTCAAGCTATCCACCCTTCTGCACAGACCTCAACCTCTCCATGGATAGAGATGGCAAAGGATGGTCTCACCATCATCCCCTCTACACCGAGCATTTAACCCAGTTTCGAACCGGGATTGGAGGACCAGAGGAAACCCTGGACCCCGTTTGACCCTTCTGCACAGACCACAGTGCTCAACCTCTGCATGGATAGAGATTACAAAGGATAACATCGCTGGGAGATATATTTCAATGCTCTGAAAGTATGGACATTTCCAAACCTTCTCTCTACACTGAGCATTTAACCCAGTTCCAAACCAGGGTTGGAGGACCAGAGGAAGCCTTGGACCCTGTTTGACCCTGCAGACGACGACAGAGCTCCACCTATCCCCCCCTCTACACAGACCACAGAGCTCAACCTCTCCATGGATAGAGACTACAAAGGATAACGTTGCTGAGAAGTATATATAATTTATTATATTATACCCCTATGGTATAATGAATGATAAATAAAGACCTGTTTTTTGCAATGCTCTGAAAATCATCTCTGTGCCTAAAGGGTCTATCCACTAAACTTGGGCCCTTTGGGTGTTTTGGACTCCAGCTCCCATCATTCCTAACAGTCTTAGGCCCTTTCCTTTCCCCCCTCAGCCTCTTAAGCTTTGGATGTAAACGTGATGGGCGTTTCTACACTGGGTTCCATACCACTTAAACGGCCACGGCTCTGTACTATGGGACCTTGGGAGTTGTGTTTTGGCACTATTGGACAGAGGAGGCCTTGTGTACCTCCAAATTTAGCATTGTTCTGTGTCAGTTCAAGCGGTGTCAAACCTTCACCAGTTGCACAGTGTGGACGCATCCTCTGGTCGAGCAAATCATGGTGCTACCTTGCTTTGGACTATAGGAGGTGGCTCCCCATCAGGGAATCGAACCCTGTGTGACAGGCAGGGATACTCACCCTATAGGACAGCTTCTCTGAACCCTGCCTGGATGACCCAGATTTGCCTCCTGCGCCAGGATTTGGACAGCTAAACCCCCCTCCTTCCTGTGTTTGACTCTTAAAGTGGGGAAAGGGGGGCATTTGGAGGGGTGTCTTTCATCCTAAAGATGGATAGAGTGAGAGACTGGATTGGTTAAATGAAAGACTCAGCAGGGTTGAAAGAGCTGCTGCGACTTCTCTTTCTTTCTTCTTTGCTTTGGTCAAGGTCACCCTTCATTTTTCTGCCTCTCCTGCCCTGGTTCTGTTTTGGAGAGAAGGTAATCCTATCCCAGCTTGTTTTGACTGGGACAGGAAGGCCGACCCGGTGTGTGTGTGTGTGTGTTTTGCAACGAATGGGAGTCTCCTGAGGACGCACGCACACGCTGGCTGCTGCCGGATCCAAGTTGTTGTTGTTGTGTGTGGGTTTTTTTTTTTAATAACCCCCTCTTTTATCTCCGCCTCTCTCTCTTTCTCTCTCTTTCCCCCCTCCTTCCACTATCCCTTCTTTCCAAGAGCTCCTCCTCTCCCTACAAATGCCATTCTCAGAAAGGGACTCATGTTACAGCCCTCTTTCTAAGAAATCCCTTTTGGACTCTTGTCCTTGGCTCCCCTTTGGCTCTTTCCAACCCAAGTCTCTTAAGGAAGAGATCTATTTGTTTATTACTTTTCTGATAATTTTTTCTATCTCATATTGCCAGCCATTTATTTCCAATCCTGGGGGACGAAACACATTTCCTCTCTGGTTCTGATTTGTCTCAGGATTACGTTTCTCTGCAGGCTTTCCCTCCCCCAATCTGGGGATTTCATCCTCCGCCTCAATCCTTGTTTCAGGGCTACACGGAGCCTATTTTTTTACCATTTTAAAATGTGAATATTAAAGCTGGGAAGCAGATGTAGCAATTGACTTGAAGGATGAGACGAGGGGGCGTCGATCGCAGAAGGGAGCTAAACACAAACTAAAAACAACATACACACAAAACCTCAATAGCTCAATCAGCAGAAGAAGCTGTTGACAAAATTATATATATATATTATATACACTTCGTAACGGAGTGTCGAAGTTGTGTTCCCGGTTTTCAGGGTTTGTCTTTATTATGATGTCTGTATTGAATAAATCTGATAGACTTTTATATAAAAGAGATTTGTTCTCCTGTCTTCTTTGCCTAGGAATGCGGTGTATAATTGATAGACCTTACAAATCCTTTTCCTGGCTGCATTTTTTGGTCACCCAAACGCCCTGCATAACACAATGCTCGATTGAGCGGCTTATAATTCCCTTTTAAGATGCATTTCGGGCCCTTTGTTTCCTGGCAAATGTTCTTCGAGGCATAGCAACCCTCTTTGTGTGTACTGTAATGTTGCTGTTGCAATCTGCATATTTTATTTGAGACTCCAGAATAATGTAACGGCAGAGGGTGCCGATGTGTGTGTTCAAAGCTCCTTTCCTCTCTCGCACATTTTGTGGTTTAAAGGAAGGAATGATTTAGGATTTCTTTGCAGGGGGTCTTAACTTGATTGCATTCGAGATGGGATGATTTAGGACACCTTTCAGATCCAATGACATCAACAGGAGAATGCCTCCATTCTCATCTATGGGACGAGAATCACCTCCCCTAGATGCCAATCAGATACCTTCAGAACACTTATCACATTAGGCTCTTGCCTTGTGTTGCAGAGTATCTATAATTAAGTATAACTCCTTGCTATTTTGCCTCTTGCTTCTACATCCCAGTTTCTACCAAAATATGGTGTTTTGTAGTGGGAGGTGATTCCGTCAGAAAGAAAATGGAAGGATAATAAATGCTGACAACAATGTCTTCCATGTTTTCATGACAAGAATTAGTGCCTTTAAAAAAAACACATTAAAGGGAAATAAGGGAAGACAGGCTAGAGGTTAAAAAATTTTTAATCCTAGGAATAATTGAGCAAATAAATGGGCTACTTGGTGCTGCAAAAATAATCCCTCCTGTATGCAAATAATATCAGAGAATGTGCATGAATCCTACTCAACAAATGAGTAGTTGCTATACATTCACCATACAAAGGCATCAAGGATGACTGAGTATTAAAATATCTGGGATGAGAACGGCAAATGACGTGTCTCCATATTCCTTCCTTAATCTTCCAGATTTCTAGTCATTTGCCTCGAGATTGGAGTTCATACATCCCTTCAGGGTGTTGATTCATAGCAATTCCCATCAGTTTTAGCCAGCACAGTTCATTCTGGATGATAAACATTGCAGTCCATTGACTGCTGGGACATGCTTTCTCCAGGCCTGGCCTCATTTCCAGCTAGTGTTTATGATTTCAGAAATCGTGGATTAAATGTCAATTGGCCTATTGGATTAATCTTATTTACAACGCTTTTACTTTTGGCCTGGTAGATATATTGTCAATATTTAACTTAATTGTAAAAGTACTGTTCACATAAAGGGTGAATCACACTAGCTCTGTTTTCTGTCCATTTGCAATTGGATTCTTCTCATTCTCTCACCTCTGCAATGAGGGAGAACTACCCTAATTGTAAAGTCTGAGTAGAAAAATAGCTTCTGGGGCTTTGTGTTATGGAAGTCTCTTCAGTAAAATTATACATTTAATCACAAATTTCAGCTGAAACATGTGAATTGCTCCACTTTCCTTTATTTCTTCTCCACAGGGAAGCATGGTTCCTCCCTGAGTCCCCTTGTGTAGAAAGGGCAGAATATAAATAAAGTATTTATTATTATTATTTGATACATAACAAGATTATTTCACAGCAAACAAGATCACTATGCTGGATTTTGTATTTGATCACACGTTGGACATTTTCTAAATGTCTAGGACTGTGATGCATTGGTGAATAATGCATGGAGATCTGAGTAGAGTGGCCTTTTGCAGCTGACAGATGATGATTTTGTCAGTGCTGATTGTTTTTAATTGCAGGCTGAGGTTTTTAGGCACTGCACCCAGTGTGACAATCACCACTGGGACCACCTTTACTGATCCTATTATTAGTAGTATTATTATTATTAGTAGTAGTATAAACACAACAAGATTAGTACACAGCAAACAAGATCACTATGCTGGCTGTTGTATTGGATCACACATCAGACACTTTCCAAGTGTCTAGGACTATGTGATATTGTTGTTGTTATTCATTTGTTCAGTCGTCTCCGACTCGTGACCTCATGGACCAGCCCACGCCAGAGCTCCCTGTCGGCCGTCACCACCCCCAGCTCCTTCAAGGTCAGTCCAGTCACTTCCAGGATGCCATCCATCCATCTTGCCCTTGGTCGGCCCCTCTTCCTTTTGCCTTCCACTTTCCCCAGCATAATTGTCTTCTCTAGGCTTTGCTGTCTCCTCATGATGTGGCCAAAGTACTTCAACTTTGTCTCTAGTATCCTTCCCTCCAGTGAGCAGTCGGGCTTTATTTCCTGGAGGATGGACTGGTTGGATCTTCTCGCAGTCCAAGGCACTCTCAGCACTTTCCTCCAACACCACAGCTCAAAAGCATCGATCTTCCTTCGCTCAGCCTTCCCTAAGGTCCAGCTCTCACATCCATAGGTTACTACAGGGAAT